TGGAAATTATCTCCTCCTCGGCCGCTTCACCGATTTGTCTCAAAATCGCTCCACATGGTCTAAACCCATGTCCCATCTATTATTGAATATAGAATTCCGATCAGTTAAACGTTGTCCGAGCAGCGGAGCGGCAAAATGTGACATTTTTTTCCCAATTTTTGACAAAAGTAAATTTGCTCCCGTTTGCACAAACCAAACCGGATTTGCACCAAATTTTAATCCATTGTTCAGCTCCAGGGTCTAGGTCATTTGAAAGTTGAAATATTGAAATTGGCTCATTAGCGCCCCCTACAGACTATGTTAAAGTTTTACATGGGCTTTTTAAAACTTAGTTTTGTCAAAATGTTTGAAATTTTGCACATAATTCTGTTTCGTCATCTGGATTCAAAAAGTCAATGACAACATATGGTTATTTTTTACCCTGTTGCCGTGGCGACCACAAACACTCCCCTGTCTGTGTTTATGGGAAAATCGTTAAATCTCTTAAAAGTACACCTCGCTCAAACATCAAACCAGCCGCGGCCGTTTCACTAATTATTCTGAAAATCGCTACACATCGTCTCAACACATGGACCATCAATAGTTGCATATAGAGTTTTAATTAGTCAAACGGTCTGAGCGTGACAGACCCCCAAAGTGTGGTTATTTTCATAGAGAGGTGTGAAGTTCTCATGTTATCCAATGGAGACTGTGTGGACACACTCACAGATTGTATGTGCAAACAGGAGCACATTCACAAACTCTGATTTGCACTAAACTTGACTCGGTTGTTCAACTCCTGGGCCTAGGTCACATGACAGTGTGAACAATGACATTGGCCCATTATCGCCCCCTACAGCCTGAGAGTTTACATGGGATACAGGTGCCACAAGTTTTTTTAGGCATGGTTTTCTTTGATACAGGTATTGCACATAAAAAGTCCGTTTTGCACAAAATTTGAATTGATTGTCAATTCTTCGGTTTTAGTGTTTAAAGACAAATTGCAGATATAGCGCCCCCTTGAGTCAAGTATTACAATGGGGAGAATCAAGTTAACCGTTTTTCAATAGACACACACAATCACTAATCATAGGCATTCAAAATGCACCAGTGTCCCGCTCCCTCATCAGGGGGGTAGGAAAATGGCGCGTCAGCGCCACCCTCCTTTGCGCGGTGCGGCGAGGGCCGTATAGATGCCGCTTGCGGCTTTAACTTTATTTTGTTTTTCTTAACAATTAAGATGGTATGGTTAATTATCCAGTGTAATCCAAGTATCGAGTCTCTCCCTCGGACACTCTCCCAACAAAAACCGCCCCCCCTCTCAGAAAATAGTTCCGACGTCCATGCCAGAGAGACAACAGAGAGAGAGAGACCAGAGAGAGGACACCAGAGAGAGGAGACACCAGAGAGAGAGAGACCAGAGAGAGAGATCAGGAGAGAGACTAAGAGAGGACCACAGAGTGTGTGACCAATAAGAGAGAACAGACCAGAGATAAGTAGCAACAAGAAAAAGAGACCAAGATACAGACCAGAGATACAGACCAGAGATACAGACTCAGAGAGACCAAAGTCCCTCTCTCTCTCTCAATCTCCTCAACTTTTGGCTCATGGAAAATGCCTACTATTACACATTTTTTTTTTTTTTATGGGGAGACAAAGCAGACCCACAAGTGCTAATAAATCATATCCAAGTTTATGTCTTATTCAGAGACAAAACGTATGTTTTCTCTGACAGAAACTGAAGACACACTCAGGGCCCGCGGGTCAGGATTAACTGTGTGATTATGAAACAAATTAACGTTTGTGTAATTCTGGAGTCCCTGCAGAGTCGACAATTCTCCCTGTCCAAGCCTTGTCCAATTTCACTTTTAGAATGTTGAAAAGAATTATGGTTTTGGAGTTTTAGAAATTTGCCTATCTGACGTTCTTTGGCCTTCTTGTGATGGTTCAGTTGGGCAGTTTCCGTAAACGTCCAAATCCTCTGAAAAAACTCTGGTGAGACTGCCAATTCCAGTTTGTGCTTAAGGCCCTCTATCTCGTCCTTTAGGTTTATAATCTCTATGTTAAGTCGTCGAATTCTTAAATTGAGAATCTTCATACAGTAGTTTTGTTGTATTTTTCTTGCCAACTGGCCTGTTTCTAATGCTTTTAGGGCGGCACGGTGGCTGAGTGGATAGCACTCTCGCCTCTCAGCAAGAAGGTCCTGGGTTCGAATCCCGGTCGGACCAGGGCCTTTCTGAGTGGAGTTTGCATGTTCTCCCCGTGTCTGCGTAGGTTTCCTCCGGGTACTCCGGTTTCCCCTACCACTAAAAATATGTCCAATAGTTCTGGCATGCGCCTCCTGTACTGGCGACCCCGCTCCCATCTCTGTGTGGAGTGAGAGACAAATGCCCAAAATTAACAATTGTAAACCGCTTTGAGACTCAGATCTGCAGTGAAAAGGCGGTATATAAATAAAAACTTACTAACTTACTTACTTACTTTTTGCTTTAAACATTTTGGGATAAGTTTACTTAAAGATGTTCTTACTAAAGGCCTAAATTTTGCAATAACCCCAAAAGATATTCCTACAATTGAATACATCACAGCAGCAGAAGCAGCCATTAGAAACAACAAACTAACTGAGAGTGAGGCAGGGGCCCTCAGACTGAGAGTCTCTGCCACACTCAAAAGTGCGAAGCCCCCACAATCCAATGTCTCATTAGATGAGCAAAAAGCATTATTGGCATTACAAAAGGATGAGAATATAACTATTTTACCAGCTGACAAAGGCAGATGCACAGTTATCCTCAACAGCTCAGACTATGAGGCCAAAGTTAATCAGTTACTCGTGGACACCAACACGTACCAGCCATTGAAGAGGGACCCTACCAGTGGGTTTAGGAAAAAGATTATAGACTTCCTTCAGAACTTAATGAAAGAGGGCATTATTGATAAACCACTATATTACAAACTTTACCCAGGAGACACCATCCCCAGTATTTATGGCCTCCCAAAAATACACAAACAAAACTTTCCACTTCGGCCTATTGTATGTAGCATAGACTCTATCACCTACAACCTGGCTAAACACCTCAAAACCATTCTGGCTCCTTTGGTGGGTAACACCCACCATCACATAGAAAACACAAAAGAATTTGTAAATAAAATCAAACACCTCCAGTTTGACTCAGATGAGACAATGGTCTCGTTTGATGTGACATCGCTTTTTACGTCGGTCCCTATTACAGAGGCGGTGGAGGCTGTAAGAGAAAGCCTACAGAAAGACGCCACACTAGGGGAGAGAACGAAACTAACAGCTGACCACATCTGTGAAATACTTGAAATGTGTCTTAACACCACGTATTTCCAATTTAGAGGCACCTTCTTTAGACAGATTCATGGCTGTGCGATGGGCTCCCCAGTCTCTCCTATAGTGGCCAATCTGTATATGGAGAAACTGGAGGAACAAGCCCTGGGCTCGTACCAAGGGACAGCGCCAAGCCATTGGTTTCGATATGTAGACGATACATGGGTTAAGTTAAAGAAACAGGAAGTGGAACCATTTTCAGCACACATTAACTCGGTGGACCCGTTTATAAATTTCACTCGCGAGGATGCTAAGGAGAGTGAACTCGCCTTTCTAGATTGTAAGGTCATCATACTGGAGAACGGACAATTAGAGACTGAGGTCTTCAGAAAGTCCACTCACACTGACCAGTACTTGGCCTTTGATTCGAATCATCCGCTACAACACAAACTCGGGGTCATTAGAACGCTTCAACACCGAGCCCACCAGGTCCCCACTAGCTCGGAGGGAAAGAACAGAGAAACCAAACATGTTCAGAGAGCACTTTCCAGATGTGGCTACCCCAAGTGGTCTTTTACTAAAGCCCAAAGGACGAGAAAGGCCAGAGACACAGTCCTACAGACAGAAGAAAGTAGGAGGAGAGGGGTGTCCTTACCGTATGTGGCGGGAGTTTCAGAGAAACTACAAAGAATCTTTAGGCAACACAAAATCCCTGTGTATTTCAAACCTTTCAACACGTTAAGACAGAAATTAGTGCATCCCAAAGACAAAACACCCAGACACAAACAGAGCAATGCGGTGTATTCAATTAAATGTAGTGAAGAGGAGTGCACTGACCACTATATTGGAGAAACCAAACAAACTCTACAGAAACGACTTTACCAACATCGTAGAGAAAACTCTAGTGGGCCACAGTCGGCTGTTCATCTCCACCTGAAGGCCTCCAACCACACGGTGGATGACACAGAGGTTAAAATTCTGGCTCGGGAGAAGAATTGGTTTGAGAGAGGAGTGAAAGAAGCCATTTTTGTGAGGAAACAAAAACCTTCTCTTAACAGAGGAGGAGGGTTAAGATTTGTTTTGCCTCGCATCTATGACGACATCCTAAAAACAACGCCCTAACTTGGGACAAGGTCAGTGACATGCTAATGAGTTAGGAGGGGTGAGACCTGCACTCCACTTGAGCATCCCAGCAGACAATAGGTCTGTGACATGCTAAGGAGTTAGGGTCGTTAGCCTCAGCAGGGTCGTTAGACCTGCTCCCTTCTACATCAAGCAGACCTGAGATTGTTTACGAGTTAGTATCAGGGTTAGGGTGTGGCTTACCACACCCATAGGTTATAAATCTCCAACGCGCGGTCCGAGAATTCATTCCCTGAAGAAGTCCCCAGGTTGAGGACGAAACGTCGGGAAAACTTGCTAAGAAGTACAGATGATGGGTGAGAAACCTTCCTTTGCTTTGACTAATCCCTGTACGACTGAGGGCTTACACAAACTTACCACTGGGACAATCCAAAATTCTCTCTTGGAATGAAAAATGTGTCGCAACAGCACTTGAAATACTTGTTCCATTGACATTTTTTCTGTATTCTTTTCAGCATATTTTAATAATGGCCTTGACTTCAGAACATACTGTTTGAGCGAATCCATCTTCATCGTACATACAAGCCTTCCCTCTCAAACTGACACACATACATGCATATTTATGAAGGTTGTGTGTGTGTGTTTGCAGGTGGAGCTGGTGCAGATGGTGGTGGACGGTGTCAACTACTTGATCGAATGTGAGAAGCGGCTGGAGAGAGGCCAAGACATAAAGATCCCGGCTCCACTCCCTCAGTTCAGGAAGTGATCCGGGATTAGGACTCCAACAGTTCTCTGGAAAGTGCTGGTGCTTGTAGGTCGTAGTGCAACGAAAAGTGATCTGAAACTCATTAACTCAGACCAGTGCATTTTGTCAGCTTTGTCATAGGTTTTATCAGTGTCATATTTATCACAGGCTAAAAGTGAATGCAAATGTACTAAAATAAATGCCTTCTTCTTGACTTTTTTTTTGTCAAATTGGTGGTTGCACTGTGTATACACTTTTTAATCAAATGAGACCGCTTTTAAACGCCTGAACCAAACATTTCAGTTCAATCTGAAAGAACTCAAAAGATTGCATTAGAATTGTTTGCATTGTCATGTTTACGCAAATATATTGTAGCTGCATGATTAAACAAAGAGGCACTAATATATTTATTGCATTTTGTACATATTCATCATGATTTGGCAATTAGACCCTGGCAGAAATACTGCATGGATGGAGTTTAATATAGATTATAAATTATATAAAGTGCTAAACTCTGGTGATGAAGGAGCTGAGCCGATAACATGATCCTCCACTGAAGAGGCGGTGACAGGGAGGAGGTGGGTTGCTGCACGAAGAGCAGCTTGATGCAGCAGAGGACTGAGAGGCTCTGTTTAAATGCAGCCATGAAGTGATACTGAGGACTCCATATGGACAGGAGCCCTCCGTCTGAGTTTCTACTGCATTTTATGTTGTTTATGTTCTCTACTAATTGACACTTGGGTTAGTGTAACTTTACACATTGTTTCCCATCAACAACAGACCTGGAGTAATAATAATATCAGGAACTTCTGGCACAAAGATGTAACTACAACCCTTCTGTCTGAAGGTAAATGTTGCAAACACATCGGTAAACACCAAGTCTCGGTGATCCAAGATGGCGTACTATTCAAATCAATGGCTTCAGTAGTTTACTGTACATTGAGTTTAATGGGAAACATTTCTGGGTAGCCCACATGAATTTAGTCTTGTTTATTCTGTAGGTCGACAGTGGCTCAGTTGGTAGAGCATTGGCCTTTGAGCCTGAAGGTTGTGTGTTTGATCCCACCACGAGACCTACTTCACGTCTCCCACTGGTGACAGCTGTCGTTGTGTCCTTGGCCAAGACACTTAACCCCACTTTGCCTGAAGCCCCCACTGCAAGATGAAGGCTACTGTGGACTCACCACCTGCAGGAGGATCAGTGAGGGGCAGATGCCATGTGTACTGGGTGGCATCTCTGACAGCCACCCCCCGACCCAGAAATAGACCAAGGAGTAGAGAATGGATGGATGGATGGATAATCTGCAGTACCACGAGAATCCCCCCGAGCACATAGGTCCTTCAGCTCCAAGCTAGTAATACCCAGTGGGGGCGGGTCCCGGCTCAAAAGTGGCCAAAATGACGTGCGCTGACATGCTTGCAATACCACCCCGGGGTGGACCCAGAAGTAGAAATAGACCTCTCGACGTTTTAGACCTCTCGCAAACGTCTTTACAGGATGGTCCAAAAGCTGGCTCTTGGCCCAAAGCTCCGTTCCACATGTGTGTCAATGTCTCTCGTTCAAATGAATGGAGCTTGCGCCGGCTGACAATTTTCTTGTGGGCGGGACCACTCGCGGCCATTTTGGATTGCTCCAGTAGAGCACAATTGTTGGCCCATTAGTTACAACGACAGAGATAGGCGTGACTACGTCCGTTAATTTTTACAGTCTATGGTAATACCCTATCCAGATATTATAATAGATTCATGGAAAATACACATCACAGTAAAACATTTGCATTCTCGTAAGAAAGAGCCTTATGAATCGGTATTTGAGCTGAGTTACTTTCATTTTAACTTTTCTGTCTGAAAAAACCAAAGCTAAAGGTGTGCCCAAAAACTAGTGAAATATCCGAAGAGTTTAGTCAGCTATTGCAGCAAGTTACTTATACTAATACTACTACAAAATACTAGACTAAAATGTTGTCGTTTGAACGTTGTATACCCAGCTTTAAAGAAAACCAAAAATCAAAACAGAGCAGAAAATGCAAATGAAAACTGCCATTGACTAAGACGAGCTTTTGATACATTTATTTTATTCAGACTGCACGGGGCAGACTTTTTGAAAATGAACTTTAACTGAATCATACAGTCACAAATGAAGACTGAACCATGGCATCTGTCCGTCTGTTCGCTGAAAACGCCGAGGTCTTATTAACCAGGACATTTCCGTTGTTTATCCCACCATTGAATGGACGGATGGGAGACTGGAGTGACATTCAGAGCTCAGTCTGCTTTATCTGATTTAATCCAGCGCCCGGTGGAAATCTCATTAACGCCAGACACCAGTGAGGGCAGGCAGAGGTGGCTGTGGGCCGTGAACGCACCAACACTATTCACTTTACACAGTTTTAATCACAGGTGGTCACTAACCTAGTACTAGAACTAGGGGATTTGGGGCAGTGTTTTTCCTTGCAGATGCAGGAGGGTCTAAGGACAGTGGTGATGATCCAGGAAACTCAAAATTAACCCACTGGGCGCCACGGTTGGCAATATTGTACTGTTTGAAAAGACTGATTGTGTCAAGCAAGATGTCAAAATATATTCAAACTTCCTGCCATGCAATGCTTTGCACTGTTTTACCTTTTCCCTGACCTTTTAGTATGGTATAATGTGAGTTCTGTTTGTATGTGCATGTCCTAGTGATCTGTATGTCTGTCAGGAAAAAATATATACATCATGAAAATCCACAATTGTCACCATCATATGAAGTCATAATTTGTCATTTAGATGGGTACATTTCATTTCTACATACACTTTAGGCCATCCTTATCGTTTGTCTAATTTACATCGTATCACTTTTAAGTTATTAAGAAATTAAGATGTCAAAATTGAGCCTCTTAGGAAAAACCTCTGGAGCCTAAAGGGTTAAAACAACATTTATCATTTATGGACATTGGTCTCTGCCCCTTATGGACCAATGGATCTATGTGTTTCTACCGTTGCATTTATTGAGTTCGAACTGTTTTGATTCTCTGATCTGTGTTGGCAAATTCATCTTCATTTTGTAAAGTCCTCAGAGATAACTACTGCTGTCATTTAGGGATATACAATAACACTTTGAATTGTGTTTAATTGAACTCCCAGAGCAGTCAAAGTGACGGCTTTTACTCTGGGATGTGTAGTAATTCCTGGAACAAGGACGAGGCCACGCAATGCAGAAACTTCCCATCCGTGACCACAATAGACTGTAAAGTAGGAGTTTTAGTCCGAAAAGAAAATTTATATTTGTGTGGCACATTTCAAATCATTCAAAACGTCCTTGTTTTTACTTTTACCCCAAAACAGTTTTGTTAATAAATTGCGCTATATAGATCACATATGGATCAAAAGTATGACAAAAATACACGATACAATCACTGATTCAGACTCTGATGCAGTAAAACCACCTTGGAATACATGTGCAAAAGTCCCCCAGTATGCACCAGACAAGTACATACAATCAAATACACTAAAAAGTACTGGAAACAATCGTGACTGTGAAATCAATGAACGAGCACCGTGCCAACACAAGTGCGGGATCCTCACACTGCTTTGTTAAAAAATAAAAAATACTAGTTAAAACACATGCGTTTTATATGTAAATTCCAAATTGGCTCTATTCCATTTCCACAACCCTCTCTTTAGGCTTTGACTGTATAAATACATATAATCAAATCGAGCATGGCTGTTAACATGGCAGAATATAGAGTCGGTCTCTTCCAATGTATGATTAGTTCTGATTTTCTTGCCTCAGGTCATTTGCTAATAATAAAAATATGAGGCGGATTACACGAGCCGCTGAATATCAAAGTGACGTACGCAGAGATGCAGAGTGACAGGACGCGAATGTTGTCGGCGTTTATAAATACATATGAAATACACATACAATTAAAAACAAACTGGAAATGTGTCATTTGAGGCGATGCAGTGCTGTACAGTTCCTGCAGAGGGCGGTATTTCACATCTTCTCAGTCACGTCTCGGTCTCTACTGCAGGAGTGATCGGAAAAAGGTTTTGTTGGACTTACAGGGGAAATGTGTTCTCTGCAGAGGTGGAAGGAGTAAAAGTGAAGCAACAAAACAATAAAAAGTGTTAATTAAAATAAATATCTTTGGCTCAAACGTTCTAGTTGTTAAAAGAAGATTTCTGTAGTTTTAAGATTCATTATTGAAATGACAGAATATCACTTTTATGACTATACAATTTGAGCAAAATCTAGCATGGTAGGTTTTCATGCTCGGTCTGAGGAAGATTTCTAGATATAAAAAAAATAAATCAAAATCAGTTTTCCTTGTGTATGAATTGTGCTTTACAAATAAACCTTTTCCTTCTGTGGGAACAGGTTTGGACAGGTGTGTGTGTGTGTGTGTGTGTATATATATATATATGTGTGTCTGTATGTGTGTGTGTGTATATATGTGTGTCTGTATGTGTGTATGTGTGTGTGTATATATGTGTGTATATGTGTATATGTGTGTCTGTATGTTTGTATGTTTGTGTGTGTGTGTGTGTGTGTATATATGTGTCGGTCTGTATGTGTATGTATCAGTATGTGTGTGTTAGATTCATGTTTGTGTGTATGTGGCTAAAGTGGTAGTAGTTTGCCACCACAGAATGAATGAATAATGCTGTAAAAAATCACAAATTATTCCTGAAGCATTATTTTTAAAGTGACCAATAACATTTCATTTCAAATAAATAAATAATTTGAAAAACTTCCAGAGTTCCCCATCCCGAGTTCACACGGGATCAAAACTATAGTCAGGACAAACATTAGAGATCAGTTGCTCTTCAAGGATCCGGAAAAACATTTCAGAGTGCCTCGGATCTTTTTCCTCTTCGTTCTCTTTTTATAAATACTATTTTAATACCTGGGGTTTCAGATTTATGCAACTAAAATCTGTTACAATCTTCCTGAAAGTGTGAGACAGGCTTCTATTCTGACAATGTTCAAATCCAGGTTAAAAACAGGTCATTTTTAGTTCTTTTGAATGTACTGG